CCTGCCTTTTCTCTTTTGGTTTTGATCTCTTTGCCTTCTCTGAACATTTGCAGTAAGCTCTTCTCTGTGTATGATTTTTAAATTTAGATCTTTTAAATGCTTAGCCAGTGGAGACTTGTAGTTAAACTCAAAGCAGTGATACTGACTCTTCTCTTTATTTAAAGATGAGCTTTTGCTTTGCTCTATCTCAGTCTCCTACCTGAATTTCCCCTCAGTGCAGAATTTCTGACTTCAGTCATATGTGGGTCTAGTAAAGGAAAAAATGAGATTTTGAGGATGAGGAACTAGATAAAACAACCCTAAGATTCATATGGAACTGCAAAAGACCTCAAATAATCAAAGCAGTCTTGAGCAAAAGGAACAAAACTGGAGACATCACACTGCCCAACTTCAAACTGTACTATAAAGCTATAGTAATCAAAACAGCATGTCATTGACATAAAACAGACCCATAGACTGGTGGAATAGAATAGAGAGCCCAGAAGTAAATCTACACATTTACAGTCATTTTGTTTTCAACAAAGATGATAGTAATACAATGGAGAAAGGACAGTCTCTTCAATAAGTGGTGCTGGGAAAATGATATCTACACGCATAAGAATGAAATCAGACCCTTGTCTTTCACCATATACAAAAGCCAACTCAAGATGAATTAGACTTAAATTTAAGACCCAAACATCTCTGACCTCTAAAATTTTGGTTTCAAGTTTCTCAATTTTTGAAAGCCATAGAACTAGAACCATACACTGCTTATTAATTTGTCTGACTTCTTTTGTTCAACTTTATTTTTTTTGTGATATTTATCTATCTTGTTGTATGTAGCTTCAATTCATTTATTTCATGGCTGTAGTATTCTATTTTATCTCTTTATAGATATTTGAGTTTGTTGTTGTTGTTACAAATAGCACTACTATGAAACTTTTACATATGTCTTGGTACAACATACATTAGTTGCTGTTGCCTATCTGTGAGTGAAATTACTATATTTTAGGCCAAACATTTTTATTGCATGTAGATAATGCCAGAGTGTTTTCCAGATTTGTTCTACCAAATTGCCTTTCCATAGTAGTATATGGGGGTTGTTTTGTTACACATTCCTAGTAGTGCTTGTTTTTGTTAGTCTTTTTAATTTAGCTATTGTATGAATATGTTAATACTTTCTAATGGCTTTAATTTACGATTTCTTGATCATAAAGAAGTTGAGAAGATTTTCATGTAGTTGTTGTATCCTTCCTATTTGTTAAATGCCTATTAAGTATTTTGCCTATTTCTTTCTGACTTTCTGGTTATCTGGCTTTTTAAAGATTTATTTATTAATTTATAGAAGCTTGAGTTTAAGGGTACATCCTCTGGAGCTGGGCATGCAGTGATTATGTGTTTTCAGTTAGAAATTAGATACCATATTGGACTTAGGAAGTCTAGAGTAGTGCTGAGAAAAAAGACCACTTACCAGAGAAAAATTATTCACTGTCTATCTTAGTAGGTTTTCTGTTGCTATAACAATATACTAGAGACTGAGTACCTTATAAAGAAAATGGGCGTATTCAGCTCAGAGTTTTGGGATTCAAGAGCATGGCACCTGTACCCCCTCACCTCTGGTAAGGTCTTTCTTGCTACATTACAACACGACAGAATGCACACATGGTGGGAGCATATGTGAGAGGGACAGATCACATGGCAGGAGGCTTCATGAGCTATCCTTGGTTTTTTAGTAACAACCTACTCTCATGTGAACTAACTGAAATAGAATGAGGACTACATGAATCCCTTGGAAGGCAGCACTCCCAGTGACCTAACCACCTTCCACTAGGCCCCACCTCTTAAAGGTCCCACCACCTCTCTCATCACCCGGGGGGCCAAGCTTCCAACACAGAAGTCGCTGAGGGACATACTCAAACCATATCTAAACCATACCACTTTCTAACATGAACTTCTGAATAATAATCTTTTACAATCAACTTGTTCCCAGAACGAATTTTTTTTAAAAGTGGACTTTAAAGTGAAACTTGAATTTTAAGAATAAATAATGTACCAGGAGCAATGGTGCATGCATGCAATTACAGAGGCTGGGGAGGCTGAGACAGGAGGATCACAAGTTCAAAGCCAGCCTTAGCAAAAGCTAGGTGCTAAGCAACACAGTGAGACCCTGTCTCTAAATAAAATACAAACTAGGGCTAGAGATGTAGCTCAGTGGTTAAGTGCCCCTGAGTTCAATCCCTGATACCAAAATAATAATAACAATAGATATATGATTTACAAAAAAGGCAATGGCAGCCTAACCAATCACAARAGTGGCTAACTGTCCAGAGCAGAGGAATTCTGACTAGTGAGGACCTTTCAAGTGGAGTGGTGGTTCATCCTGGAGCAGGGCAATGGCCTAGGACTGAGGGAGGACAGGGATGCCCTGACCTGGTCCTGGCTCACTTTGGCTCTGTCTGGGTGATTAGGCTGAAGGTTTGTACTGAAGGCCATCAGAGTGGGTTGCACAGCTTCAGCTGTTTTATTCTAGTGTGTATGTGGGTGAGAGAGTTTGTGTGTGTGTGTGTGTGTGAGAGAGAGAGAGATAGAGAGAGAGAGAAAGAGAGTGAGAGAGAGAGCGCAAATCCAATATTTGGATTCAGTAATCATTTGTTTTCTAATAAAAGTTAAAATACTGCAGGAACTTATAAAATAGGCTTGGAGAAATACCTAGGTGTTTTGCGAAAAATCTTTCAAACTCTCCTTTTCCCATTCCTGTCAATATAGTTGGTGACTTTCTTGAGTGTGTTGTTATTTTATCAAGAGGAGAAAACAGTTAAACTGACTATGTTTTGAGAAGAAAACAATTCATAGAAGGAGTTAAAGTTAGGATTTCCTGGATTGAAAGGGCCCCATCCGTATGAATAAATAACATTCATCCTCAAAATTAGATTTTTATTATTATAAAAAGATTATTATTCAGAAGTTCATGTTAGAAAGTGGTATGGTTTAGATATGGTTTGAGTATGTCCCCCAGCGACTTCTGTGTTGGAAGCTTGGCCCCCAGGGTGATGAGAGAGGTGGTGGGACCCATGTATACTGTGTCACAGTGAAGTTTCAGACACTAAAACTGAAGAAGAAATCTTGAAGAGCTTCAGGAAGACTTTATTTTCCTAAAGAAGACTTTGAGGTAATTCCTTAGGAACATTCTGAAATAGATGGATTTCAAAATCAACACTTTATTTAAAAGAAACAGGTATCCTTTCCTTCCCCAAGTCCCTGTGGATAATAGGAAAAACATTAGTCAGAGGATATACAAGAAAGGATTCCATCTTTAAGGATCCAGGCCAAACATTCACAAGATAGCAGTGGTTCTGGGTGATTTGGACTATGGATGGGTCAAGCAGCCATCACAGAGGGTAGGCAACTGTACTGGGAGGAGTTGGGCAACTTTGACCCCTTCCTCTGGTTGGCCTGTGCTGAGTCAGGGGCAGCAGTGGGCTTGAGCTGAGGTGTCCCGTGCATGAGCAAAGAAATTTCCAGAAGGAACAAAAAACTTTACCCCAGATCAAGTGACATATTCTTCCCCCATGGCACATCTCACCCTTGCCTACAACATCTGGAGGCCACTTTGCCAAAGGGATGTATACAAGGTGAGCATCCAAACAAAGATTGCCAAACACTTAAGAAAACAACTCCCTGAGAGACCGACTCAGCCCCAAAAGGACCCTCACCAAGAAAGTAGCCTTCATGGAGCAAATAGGATTGGACCTTCCAAGAAATGAACAGAAATCCTGAGAAGGCAAAGAGGAATTCATGTTCATGAAATAAAAACAAGCTGCTACTTCACAACACAAAAAGACATTACATTGGAAATGCAATGCTTAATTGATATTTTAAAAGACATAAATAAGATGAAAAACAGAACGCACATAGCGGAAGAATGAATTGGTAAGCTGGAAGTTTGAATTATGAAATTCAGAAGACAGAGATAAAGAGAATGAAACGAAGGTTTAAAAGGCATGGAGACCTAGAAGCTTCAAAATACATTTACTAGGGCCTTTCAAAGGAGTTACACACACACACACACACACACACACACACACACACACACACAGAGGGAGAGAGAGAGAGAGAGAGTCTAGAGGTCAAAGGGGGAGTGGGGAAGGGAAGAAAAAGATAAAAGAAATAACCAAAGTGTTGTTTGTTGGATTAAGATGCTCCTTGGACAAATAGGAACAAAATTCATTTTCAAAAATAAAAATGAATTTCTGTTGTTTTCCAAAGCAAATTCTTCTTGGTGGTTAGTTATGTAATTATCTTTGGGGAATGATTCTGATTTTATATGGTATTATAATATATTAATTATAAATGTGACATTTTAATGTTAGCCAAAGTGGGGTCTTTGAAATGTTGCTCAATTCTTGGTGTTTAAGTTGGCCCTGAGAGAACTTCAAGGTCATCTATATTTGTAGTCTCCTTTTCCTCCCCTTTGAGTCCAAGACCTTGTTTACCACCCTAGAGGACAGTCTGGGTCTAGTGGTGGAGATTTCCTTTCCAAATCCAGGGCTTTCTGTGGAACGGCTGACAATTCTTTGTTGGCTGGATGGCTCTGTTTAGGCCTATTGATGGAGTAACAGGATTGACCAGTTTCTACCCCAAGCAAGAAGAAATGCCATTTATCCTGGATAATCTTTTTAAAATGAGAAGGAAAGAACAGATGCTGAGTTTTATTTTGTATTAAGATTGAATTTACAAGGACCTGTTTATTGGTAACTTGATAACCTTGATTAACTGTATGGGTCACTGGAGTTCTCAGAAGACATGTGAGCATATTTTGGAACAATTCGCTAGAGAATATGAGCTCAGATTTCTTAACAAAGGGCTCCTCATGGTGAGAAATAATTACCAGCTTTACCAATTACTATTCATGTAGAGATTTTTCTCTTTAGTTTAGAATAGTATATTTGATGGATTGAAGGGATTCCATGTTTCTTATATTTCCTGTTTTAACTCCCTAAGCTTTTCTTGTGTGATTTTAGAGGCCAGAGCCCACCAGTGGCTGAATTTAACTTACTCCTGAAAGCTCACACTTTGGAAACCTATGGGGTGGATCCACATCCATGCAAGGTAACTCCCCTCTACAGCAGATCACCACATAATGATCGATTTGCCCAAAATAAAGTTAGTTGGTGTGCGGGTCTGGTAGAACCCTCTTAGGAGATTTCCACAGCCTGACCCACAACTCCTAATTGGAAGGGGCACTAATGGGTTGTGGTCATTACTGAGTCAGAATTCCAGGGGTGCAGCTGGGAAATCTCCCTCTTCATCAAGGAGTTTTGGCAGTTGATTTTCTCTAAGACTCTAAGAGTCTTCCAGTAACTTGCTAATTGCAATGTAGGAGCCACTTTTTCTAAGTTACCATACATGGGTTTATTCATCAAGTGGATGTTTCTTTTCTTTCTTTCTTTCTTTCTTTCTTTCTTTCTTTCTTTCTTTCTTTCTTTCTTTCTTTCTTTTTTAAAGATAGAGGATCCCAAGAGATTTGCTTTCAAAGCAATTACCTAGCAAGAATATAGTCTTTAAAAATGGGAAAGTGGAAGGAAATAAAGAAATATTTCAAATTACACCATGGCGTTAGTAGTACTTCTTTCTATTTTTTCCTTTACTCATAGTATTTGGCAGTATTTCTCATAAGGGTGAAACACAGACCATCTTTAGCAGAATCACTTGGGCTCCACCCCAGATCTACTGAGTCAGAATTCTGGGGGTGCAGCTGGGAAATCTCCCTCTTCATCAAGCTCCTAGGGATGCTGTGCACCTATTTTCCAGAAATGACATACACAGGCAATATACATTGCCTTTCCACATTTTAACTGTATATCAACCAGACACTAGCACTAAAACTAAACTAAATATATCAGTCAGGTTCTTAAATATAATTGGTTGGGTTAATTGGAAGTAGTGACCACAACCCACTAGTGCCCCTTCCACATAAATCCTGGAAGATATATGTGCCCGGATTGGACCAACTTATTTAGCTAAGTACTAGTTTTGAGTGTTCAGCTCAGGCTGCTCATTAGAAGCACCTTGGGAGCTTCATAAACATCTGCTGCCCAGAACACACCCTGTCTCCATTATATCAGAGTCTGCTGGGGAGGAGAACCAGGCTCCCAGATGATTCCATTTGTAGCCAAGGCAATGTACCTGTCCACATTTGGCATTTGCATCCTACACAATTGTTTTAGGATATGTTCCAGCTGCCCCTTTTAGTAAAGTTTTAAGTCAGTCTATTCCACTTAGTGATTTATATTTTAACCAGAAATCGAGCCTCTTTTTTACTTATGGATTACTTGGAGACTGAGTTGACTTTATTGTTGTTATCCCTTGGTCTTACTTGACTGAGTGTTCCTTGTCTAGGCTATAGGCCAATTAGGCTTTTCTGGACATTTTTATATTGCAATGATCAGAAGTTCTATTTGGTTTTAATCAGAGAAGACACTCAGGCATTTTGTTTCATTGTATTAGAGGGCTAATGATACCAAGAACAGTTTGCTTACATTATAGAGCTGATCTAGAACTCTGGCAGCCCCAGAAGATACTTGGAAATAGATGAGATGTTTGGGAGTAATCTGTATACTTCCAGAAGGTTCCTGGTGAGGCAGAAGGTCCATTACAAAAAGAAAAGGCTACAGCTTCCTGGACCTTGCCCAAGTTTTGAAAGTTCTGTTCTTAGAAATTTCATCTCAGAAACTTGGTTTATTGCTACAATCATTGGACTTGACCAAAAATTAATCCAGGGTAAAAATGAGTAAGCATGCCATTTGTCATTTACTTTATCTTCCTCAATCCAACAGGTTTTTATTTCTATTTTTAGGATTCAACAGGCACAACAACGTTTTTAGGATTCACTGCTGCAGGCTTTGTGGTATTCCAGGGAAATAAGAGAATCCACTTGATAAAATGGTGAGTACTTCTTTGGAAAACTGGCTTACCACTTTTTTTCTTCTTCTTTCCCACTTCCTCCCTTTGAAATTTTTTTCCATCTCAGGTAGAATGTCTAGAATTAATTTCTTTTCCTTGGAACTTCATCATAAATGAAACCCAATCTAGATTGCCCTAAGTGGATTTATAAAACTAAGGAGTCACATTAGGATCCCTAGACTTGGGGGCTTTGCCTTCAAAGAGACATTATATTCACCAGAAACTTCTACTGATCTGACTATATGAGGCAACTCAGGCTGGATCAGGGTGAAATAAAGGTGTTAACTCTTAAGTCTATTTGTATTGCTATAACAAATACCGGAAGCTGGATAATGCATAAAGAAAAGAAGCTATTTAGCTCATGATTCTGGTGACTGGAAAGCCCAGGTATCATGGTGCCAGCATCTGGGGAGGACCTCTTCGATGAGCCACAACATGGCAAAGAAGTAGGGGAGAAGGATAAGTAGGCAAGTGCAAAGAGCCTGTATGCAAGAGTGAAAGCAAGAGACTGGGGAGGCACCAGACTCACTCTTTTATAACAACCAGCTTTCTTGGGAAATAATACACTCCTGTAAGACCTAAACCATTCTGTGAGTTCAGCATTAATCCCTTCTTTTACAAGGGTGGTGATAACATAGTTACCTCCCACTAGATTCCATCCCTGAAAGATCTCACCACCTTTTAATACAACTACATTGAGGACCAAACTTCCAGAAGATGGAACTTTAAGAGATAAGCCATACTCATACCATATCAGTTCCTTGGAGCAACTCGGGACCACTTTCTCCCACTCTGCCTCACACTCTTGCCCAATCCTTTGTGCGAACTCACTATTTGTTTTCCAGCRTTATCAGTGAAGTTGCTATTGGAAGTAGTAGGCATGTCCACTCAGAATGGTATGCAGATTAGGAAGACTGAAGGAAGAAGGGTCAGATCCTCAGGTTTCTGAATTGCTTGAGCTCTGGAGTAGTTAGGTTAAAATATGGTGCATCTCAAATGCAGAGTAATTTCTTTTGATTTTGTTTTATTTCTGAGCATATTGAGGGATGGAGATAAATAATCTCCAGATGGTTCATTTCTGACTTGTCTATCTTGTCCGCATCTTTCTGGTGTTCCTGGTTGTGGTACTGATGTGGATCTCATTCTTCCTGGCTTGTTCTTAGGCATATGTATTTGGACCTGCTTTGTACACACATGTTACTAAAGAAAATTTTCTTATGTTAATCCTAGTAGTGTTTTTTTTTAATAATCCAGTAAACTATGTCACTCTCACAAATCCTCGACCTAAGTTAAAACAGATTAATTGATTTAAATGATTAATGAATTTAAGTGATGTATTAAGTGCAAATAAGAGTTTTGAGAGTGCTAATTGTGGAAGAAGAGAACAAGTGGGCACAGAGGGGGGCTGAAAGTGTCAATTGAGTAGAAGCCAATGAGAGGACAAGGAAGCTATTTAGAGAAACGGGGGTCTTAGAAAAGAGCAGACAGTGTAGGGAATGCAGTGTACATTCGGTAACCTATGCTAATCTAGTACAGAGGGTTAGAAAGAAAACCAGGTGCTAAAGAGGGAAGATGCTGCAAGAGGGAAGGATTTGACAGGAGTTTGGGAAGAAGTCCTGAGGCTAATAGAATCATGCCACTGAGGTTCAGGTAAGTGAGAGAGAGTATTACCTGTTCTTTTTCCCCCAGAAAAAACACAAGAGACATGTATCACTAACCTAGGAATTAAATCAAAGGAATAAAAATAGAATCCTGTCTTTACACCTATCTTCTCATTGAGGAGCTGACTTGGGGCCGACATTCTAGGCAGGTTTTAATCAAATAGCTCCTTGAGATAAAATCTAAAGTCACCCTGGCCGTATGTTGTCATTCATCAACTTGTTCTCACCATTTTGACCATTTCAATGTGTAATAAAGCAACTCTTTTGTAAACAGGGAGAGTAGGAGTGAAAATTTTGCAGTGTGGTCTAGGTGCTCCTTAAAGATTGATGTGGAAGGATTAGAAAGTCAGATATCTTGAATCCATATTATCTCATTAACAGATTCTGAAATAACCACATTCTTCCTACCTTGCAAAGTGAGCTGGCCAATTAATGTTGTTTTGGTCGTTAATGTTCACTAATACTCTAGAGCTCCTTGGAAGGAAGATGTAGCCTCACTGTAAAAAATGGAAAAAATAATCCTGAGCTGCCCACGGGTCCTCTCTTGGGGAAAAAAATTGCTGTATAATTCACCTGGGGCTTTTCACTGCTCATTAGACCTTCACCAATGATAAGATAATATCTTGTTGTATTGCAGTCTGCTTGGCATATGTGAGTCAGCCAGATTCCTATGGGAAGGCCAGGTACTTTGGTTAGCTGCCATTTTTTTTTCCTTCTCACTCAGAGTCTTTCTTCTCTTAGGCCAGATGTCTGCAAATTGAAGTTTGAAGGGAAGACATTTTATGTAATGGGCACCCAGAAGGAGGTCAGACATTGTTTTTCTAACTTCCTGTTGCTGTATGTGTGCGCATGTATGTGTAGGAGAGAGCTTCGAGAATAAAACCTGGCTAGAGCGTTGTAGCCCCCAAAGACCGTGACTTTGAAGTGTAATGATGATGGCAGCTATAGCTGAAAACATTTTAGAGGTGAACAAATAAACWTTGGGTTTGCATGTTTAAGAATAACATCAGTGAGCAATGCTGACTATGTAGCCAGCCCTGTGTGAAAAACAGATGAGGATAAAGATAGGAATAAAAGATGGACCCTCTCCCTCCCTCTTCATGCCAAGATKCGGCTGTGTGAAACACATGAAGACACTTACAGAGCTAAATATCAACAGGGCTGGGTGTTGTAAGCAGTCTGTAAGTCCCAATATTGTTAAAATAAAGGAGCTACCAAATATAGGTTGTGAGYTTGCCTGAGAATGGATGTGGGAGAAGGCCATCACCAAACATTGAACCTTAGGGCTAGTTCCAAAGTTTGCATATTTTCTTGACCCTATTTATCAATTTAAGTACTAAATTATTAATTAATTATTAATTAAGTACTAATTAATTAATTAATTATTCAAGGATGGCAAATAAATTTTAAAATAATCCCAATCTCATAGGGAGGTAGGTGATGCCTGGAGTGTTGAGAAGGTTTGTGAAGCTGCTTCKTATCAGAATCAGGTCTTAGATAGATTATTGAGGTCCATGGTGGGCTAGGGAAGGGGAATATCACTCCAACCACACTTTATAGAATATAGTAATGTATTTAGTTATTTCAAATATATGTGGTAGGAGGCAGGACACAAGTAGGTAAATACCTGGAGAAAAAAACATAAACTGTGTTTAACTTGCCCTTTCTTGTTTTGTTATATTTTATTAGAAAAAAGCCATGTTGGCATTCCATACTTCAACACCAGCTGCCTGCAAACATCTTTGGAAGTGCGGGGTAGAGAACCAGGCCTTTTATAAGTAAGTAGCTTTTAGTCACTTAATCATATGTTCTAAAAGCACTCATGGAGCCCTTGATGTTTTGCAAGTGGTTGCATATTCATTTCTTTTAATGCAGCTCTTTTTGTTATATTTAGGTGAATTATAAATTTCACGCATTGTTCAGGGTGACTCCTAGCCATTGTTGGCCTGACTGAGTTCTGAACTCTGTTTCCCATAGAAAACTGTGCACAATTGAATCTATTTCTGGTTTGCTATTCCCCTAGAAGCACAGCCCTTGAGATAGAGTTTAGTGCAAGAAGTTTATTTGAGATGAARCCAACAGATGTAGCATGGAATTGAGACAGAGAAGTAAATAATATAGGGTGAATTACTGAGCAGATGCCTACTGTGGGCAGCCAGGCTCAGCTCTGCTAGGGAACTATTGGAGACCATATAACAGGCCCCAATGTGCTCCTGCAAACGGGCAAATATGCAGTGCTGTTTATCTACCAATTCCCCATTCGTTTTGGTTAAGGACTTTTCTGGAGGGCAGAATTAATTCTTTCTGGAACTTCTGGCTTATTCTGAGTGTGGGTTGAATGGTGCCCTCACAGGATACTTTGGGAAGAGAGTTTGTCTCAGTATATAGAAATGAGAGGCAAAGGTTAACTGGTAGAATTCCTTCATAATCTCAGAATATGGAAAGTTGGGCTGAACAGGAGGACTTCAAAAACCACCCATAAGACTCTCAGACTTCAAAAGGTTCACATGGAGGAGACCCACCTGCTGACTGGAATAGCAGTGGTAATGGACACAGTCAAGGACCTAATCTTCCCTGACCAGGTCATCCCACCCTGTTGCTCATCCAGGTGACTTTTGCTCAGTTTTCTCMACAATTAGATTCTGCCTTCCTCATTAGACTCATCTCACTGAAAATGCCCTTGAAGTTTTGCAAATGGTTGCATATTCATTTCTTTTAATACAGCTCTTTTTGTTATATTTAAATGCTGTCTCTGAACCTCCTGGGCTGTGGCTGGCAGGACCATCAGGAGAATGATGGCTTGGATAATGATTTGTAAATCTGTTTTCAGCCCTAGACTACTTTTCCTTAAGTGAAATGTAGCCAAAGCCCAGTGTGTAGAGGGATAAAAGTAGAGAAGCTGGGCTTGTAGATAGGGCCAGAGTTGGATAGGAGATTAAAGATCCTTCACCTGTTGTTCATGGTTCCTTGAACTTGGATGACCAGTTGGATGATATCTTGGAATCTCCCCACAGTTAGGACTGAGAGTCCCACGTTTCACATCCCTCACACTGGGCAAACCCTACAAGAATAATAATTTGAAAACCCCTAGATGAGACAATCCACAAAATGCTGGGCTTCTAGGAATGTCAGGAAAAGTGATGAGAATCAGTAGATCTTCCCACAACCATCAATACCTCAAGGTATTCCTGTGCCCCCTGCAGTCTTTGGAGACTGGTAGAAATGGAGTTCTTTTGGCCTCTGAAAGATCAATATGTCAGGGCTGGGCCTGTAGCTCATTGGTAAAGTGCTTGCTTCRCATATGTGAGGCATTGGGTTCAATCCTCAGCACCACATAAAAATATATAAAGATATTGTGTGTTCATTTACAACTAAATAAATGTTAAAGAAAAAGATCAATATGTCTTGAAATCTCTGCCTTTATGAGAGTTTACAAAGGGAAATGCAGAAGGTTTGATGCTCTTAGTCTTTAATTGGAGGTTGTGTCTTTTTTGGTTTTGTTTTTTAAAAAATATCTTGAAAGTTAGAATATAATTTGCATGCCATAAAATTCACCCTTTTAAAGGATACAATTAAGTGCTTTTTAGTATAAGACACACTGTTAATCAATCATCACCATTATCTAATTCCTGTACAATTTTATCAACCCCTCCAAAACCCTTGTAATCCAATAGCATTCACAGCCCTTGACAACCACTGATCTACTTTCTGTTTTCATGGATTACCTATTCTGGACATTCTTGTAAAATGGAATTATAAACAATGTGACCTTTTGTGCTTGGCTTCTTTCACTTGGCATATGTTCAAGCTTCATTTATGTTGTAGCATTTGTTAGTACTTTCTTTTTATAGCTGAGTAATATTGTACTACATGAGTATAGCACATTTTATTTATCCATTCATCAGTTGATGGGCATTTGGGTTGCTCTCTCTTTTGAGCTGTTATGAAGAATGCTACAATGAATATCCACATATACATTTTTATGTGGTTTTATACCTGGAGTGGAATTGCTGGGCCAGAGGGTAATCCCATATTTACCCATTTGAGGAACTGACAGTTTTTGGAGCCTTAAGATTTTGGAACTACACRGTTCTTCCTTTGATGGAATGGCTGCTTCCTGTTTAAAAACATTGAGTTAGCTATTTGAATTAATGTTTTATTGTAAGTGAAGAAGTTGATAAATGTAGAAATGTAGTCAAGACATAAGGCAAAGACAAGATAGATATAGCACTCTTTTATTATATATATATATATATATATATAAAATCTCTCTGAGTCTTGAAACTAGGTTCTTCTTTTCTGGGTATTTCCTGAAGACTCCAGGCAGTGAAAATGTATTTATTGGGTCAAATTGATAAGGCATGGTTCCTGTCTTTAGGACATTTTAATTTCATGGTAGAGATCAAAAGGGGACTGCAAATAAAATGACAGGGGGACTTCCGAGGAGAGCATGAGTTTTGCTGCTGGGGCTTCTAAGGGGTTGAAGATCTCCTCAAGTGGAGGAAGGACATCCTGGCCCAGGTGAGGGACCAAGGCAGGGAATAGAAGACACATTTTAGCAAGAGGAGTGGCTACACAAGACTGAGCAGAGGGTAGATGACATAGCMTGTGGGGAAATGAAGAGCCAGGAGAACTTGGGCCAGATATGGAGGCTCCACCATCATGAAAAAGGGATGTGGTGTAGGTATGGTGCCACTCTTGATGATTCACAGGCATCCTGTGTGAGGGAGGAGTAGAAGCTTTCTTTCAGAGCCTTCTCAGTGAGTCTTACTGGGAGGGACTTTGGCACCATCTTGGAATCATAGTGAAATCATAGGGTTCTATCAAAGAATTCCCTATCAAAGAATAATTTAGAGACATTAATTCATTATTTTCACACATGTTGTTTCATCATGTATGGAAAAACCAGCTGACAGATGGAATGAAGTAAAGGCAAAGTGGTGTTGAAAAGAGAGGATATAGGGAGGAAAAAAGTGCAGTCCAGGGAATCTGTTTTGTACACTTTGGGRTAGGTGAAGTAGCAGCCAGGCAGCATGGAGGCCAGTCTGACCATTCTGTCACTAACAGGACCAACCAGACAGTCCAAGAAATCCCTTCCAGACATTTGTTGATGCTTCAGAAGACCAGAGAGTTTACCTGTCAGCACACATGACAGACTGTGTGCCACTGACCGAGTCCTTGTATCTTTTTTAGGCCATGCTACCCCGCCTTTCTCATTAGGACTTCTAAAACCTGAGCATTTGTGCTGATCTGAGATTTTCTATAACGTTTTGCTTTTCCTCCATGATCACATAATCTTCCTTGTTCTTAGGAAGAAGGGAAGATATTGCTTGTTCTCCAGCTGTGCGACCTTGGGCAAGGCTCTGAAGTGCTTGCTGCCTTCAGTCTTAATCTGTAGGGGACTGGAACTCAGGTGTGCATTTGCATGCTTTCCTGTGGCAAAGCATAATAAGTGTATGCTTTGAAAGAAACAGGCTTGGGTTTGAATCTTGATCCTGTTACCAGCAGTGTGACCTGGAACAAATCCCTAAAACTGTTGAGCCTTGTCTTTACTTTTCATCTATCAAATTCAATAGTAATAACCTGCCTTGCARTGTTCGGTGCTGCTAGGCACAAAAACCGTGGATAAATGGCAGGTGCTGATATGACCATTATTATGGYCCCTCTGAAATGATGAAAGTATCTGAGCACCAATTGGATACAGAGCCCAGTCCCCTTGACTCCACAGGGCTCTGGTTCTGTGAACCACCTCAGGGGTGGTGCCTGCTTCCAATGCAACTCCAGCCCTTGTCCAGAAAGACAGAGGTGCTGGCCACGCCTCCAAGTCTGTGTGACTGGCACAGCTGGCAGAGCAAGGCCCCTGATCTTGTTTCCTGGGTTGGGAATGGATTTCTCTTTCCATTTTTACTCCACCTGCCATGGGAACAGGGATTCCTGATGGTTGCTGCCTAGGAATTCCCCAGGGTACTTAAAGACATGAATKTGCTGCTGGTTGTCAGCTGGCTTGGGGCCACCGATCCAGTTTGAAAATTCTGGCTCTGAGATCTGCTGCCTGGGAACAGAGCCCAGAAGCAGAAACCCTGACTTTCCTGTTTACTCTGGATCCCAGGGATCCCCAGCACAGACTTAGTCACCATTTAAGAGCTTCTTTTATACCATGTGTTGTCTAGGTGCCACTAGCTCCAGGTGGCTGGAGCTCAGTGTTACCAGTTACTGGTTCATTGAAAGGACATCTGATGCTTTAAAGGAGTCAGTAGCTCTCTGGTGTCTTCAGTGCTAGGCACCGAGGCCCAGTGGAAGCACAAATGATACTCCCTGTCCCCATTTAATATGGAATTACATGCAGGGGATAAAGGCAGTCCCTAATTTCTCATTGGGAATTTGGGGTGCTAGAGGAACCATAATATAAGAAAGGATAGATTGATCCCAGAATAGCTTCCTCCATTGGTACCTCGCCCACTTTATCAAGCACCTGAATCACCAGGAGATCTTGTTAAAATGGAGAATACGGTTTCCAGGTGATGCTATAATACTATAAATGCAGGTCCACAGACTACATATTTAAGTAATAAAGTTTTAACTGGAGGTTCTCACTCATGACTACTCATTAGAACTACCAGGGGGAACTTTTAAAAGACACCAATGGCTGGATCCTTGGATCCGACCCTACTAGAATCATAATCTAAGTTTTTACCAAAACTTGTATATAAATGTTCATAGTAACATTATTCATAATAGGTGAACAAAGTGGAAACAACCCAAATGTTCAAATGACCAAACAAAAGGAACAAACCCCCCTCCCCAGGAAATAAGATCAGGGCTTTGCTGTGCCAGATGAAACCATTAAAACACATAGTGCCGGGTGGTCAGAGCTGGAGGCGGGGTCAGGTATTTACTGAGGAAGGGRTCAGAGGAGTGGAGAAAGCAAGAACAAAATGTGGCATATCCACACAATAGAATATTATTCGGCCATAAAAAGAAATTAAATACAGATACATGGTATAACATGAATGAACCTTGGAAACCTTATTCGAAGTGAAGGAAGCCATTTTACAAATATTATATATTATATGATTCTATTGGTATGAAATGCCAAGAATAGGCAGATGSACGGAGACAGAAAGTAGAAGACTGGTTGCCTAGGGCTAAGGGTGGGAGATGTAAGGAGAGGAAACAAGAATGACTGCCAGTGGTCACAGAGGGGTTCATTTTGATCAAAATGTTTTAGTATTTGATGGTGATGATTAATTTTTGATCCTATTTTCAGGTGTGTGAATTACATTAAAACGCACCAAAGTGTACAATCTAAAAGGGTGAGCTTTTTGGTGTATGGATTGAACCTCAATACAGGTGTTATTTTGAACAGTGTGAATCTGGATGAGGGCTCTGGCTTCGGTGGTGATAATGGCATCCCAGATGGTGCTAATGTGTATCTGTAGGTTGAAAACTCTGCTGTAATCTGGGGGTTTTACAAAGAGGATCCCTGGGTCAGCACTAGCACCTCCAGGAACTTGTTTGAAATGCAGACTTSTGGGGTCTGCCTCAGACTTATTCAATCAGAAACTTGTGCTTGGAAAAGGGTGATTCTGATGCTCACTAGAGTTTCAGAGCCTGTCTGGCTCAGCCTGATTTTTAAAATACTAAAATCAGACAGATCTGAGTTTGCAGCCTGGTTCCTCAGCTTTTATCATGTGACCATAGGTAACCTTTCTATGCCTCAGTCTCCTTAATGTGGTCTGCTTCCTCCTGGGGGAGAGCTATGAGGATAAAACAAATTAATATGTTTAAGGTACTTTGGATGGAGCATGGCCCACAATAAGGGTTCAATAATAACAAATGTTGTTATTATTACTCCTAAACCATGGGAAACATTGGAAAAATGGGAAATGTGTTGTTAATTTTAGAGGTGGCTTCTTGGAATATCAACCAGTATCCTAGCATCCAACACTGACTTCCATCCCCAGCCCCTGGAGTAGCAGGTGCCAGGGGAGAAATTGGAGACCAGGGCCCAGGGAGGTCAGTCCTGCAGAGACTACCTGGGTTTCCCTGTAAGRTCAGATGCTTCAGCTTAGTTATGCTTCTGGCTTGAGATTTTGATGGAGAGTTGGGGGTGGAAGTGAGAGAGGGTAGACAGAAAAGAAGGCAGAAAGCTGAAGGAAAGTGAGCTGCTGTTCCAACTGCCACCTCTCCCAGCAGGCCCCATAGCCTGATTCATTCCACTGCACTGGGTGGGAAGAGGCTCTTTCCCTGGGCTTGCTGGTGATGGTAGAATCTGGTAGACAGAGGGCCTGGAACATGTAGGCTGGAGTTAGGGCTCTTTATTTTCAGTGTTTACAAGGTGGTTCCCTCTGGGGATTTGGGGGATTGGCTTTGGTAGCTTCTTACCCTGCAGAGGTTTAGAGAGTAGTATTATGGAGGAAAAGAGTGAAGGCAGGTGGAAAGGAAGGGAGGAAAACTATCACATGACGACATGATACCTGCTATGCACTTTCAAATAATTGAATCTCATGTACCCCTCCTCAGAGCACTATGAAGTAGGTACTGTGATACCCTCTTCCTTTAGAAATACCTGGAGAAACCGAGGCTTAGGAAAGCTACATGATGTGACCAAGGTTCTGGGCTATTGTTTTTTCAGGTGAAATTCATCTCTTGGGTTATCTGAGGGGAGTCTGGGGAGGCAGAGGTTCTCAAATGCAAGTGGGCTGTCTTGGAATCACCTTGGGATATTTGATTAAAACACAAATTCCTCTCCAGACCTACTGAATCACAATCACGAACGATCAAGCTGGAGAACCTCTGTTTCTAAGACTTGCTCCAAGTGGGGCTTTTGCCCCCGTCATGTTTGGGAGTTAGCATATTGGGTTTGTTTAGCTTCTCCACTCACCATTTCACCTTTCTTGTTCCCCTATTCATTCCCCTCTTTCCTGTGGTATTTGTTTTCCAATTCCTGGTGGGTTTATGTTGTTTGAGCTCTTAGATTAAACTCCCATTAAATTCCATTGAAGATATCAACTGAGGCATCCCAGGAGCCTGCCCGGACATTTGAGAGGGCAGAGAATTGATGGTGACTCTCTCCAGCAAATTGAATGACACAAATAGTCATCCAGGAGAATCAGCTGCTGGGAAGAAGCCAATGCTTTTTCCTCTCCTCTCATCCTGAGTAGACAGCCGTTGGCCTTCTCTGTGAAATGCATCTTTTAACTTGCTTTTCCTGCGTTGCTCTGAGGGTTTTCTGGAGAGGCAGTGCGTAGCCACAGCCTCCCTACAAGAGGCCATCCTAGGCCTAAGAGGAAGGTCGTGGCCTCCTCACAGGGCCTGGAAAAGACAGAGCTAAGGCTGAATGGGTGTCAAGGTAGCTGCCACCTCTCCCAGCAGGCCCCTATAGGGATAGCTGGGAGATTGACTAGTGTGCTAACTTTAGGGGTCACTTCTATAAAATGGGCAGTGTTGAGTTTAAATTTCCAAAACCCATTTAAGGCTCTGAATCATTTACTTTTTAGCAGACCACTTTGCCTCAAGATCCTTAGGGTCATAGAATTTAAAAATTTTAAAAATAATAAAGTGGTTTCTTAAAGGCTTTCTCCTTCTGCCACCTCTGAGGGTATGGGAATAACAGCCATGCCAAGAGGAGATGGGGACAGCAACTGTCCTTCCCTTGGGCTTCAATAGAGAAGGTGGGAGTAGAGATGGAGGTGGTGCAGATGGACTTGGAGCAGGTATGTCCTCACAGAAGCCAGAGGACCCAGCTTGGACCATCTAAATGTGTTTTAATGGGCCTTTTTATCCTCTCAGTTGGGTGTGGTCTCGTGTCCTATCAGGACCATCCAAAGTATGGATCTCAGGATAGAGGGGGAGAGAGGAAAGGGCAAGGGTTTTTTTTTGTTGTTGCTGTTTGTTTGTTTTTGCAAAAGATTGTTACTGTGGTTTTCTATTGTTCTTTGAATAATGTCCTAATTCCTTAACAAGGATGACTTAAGGTCTGGTCCTGCAAAATTGGACTCTCTCTCTCTCTTTTTCCATTCATTCATCTGTACATTCACTTTTCTTTTTTCATTAGAAAATTGTGGGGGGGGGAAGAGAGAGAGAGAGAGGGTGGGAGGAGAGAAGAGAGAGAGAGGAGAAAGAAAGAAAGTGTGTAGTAATAACTTGGGGAAATATACTAGGTCTTCTTAGTTCTGCAAATGCTTAGGCCGAGGGCTTTTGAGCTTTCTTCCTTCTGCCAGGCACCCACCACCAACCACCACAGTCCCCAGGTTAACACCTTCTAGCCCCTGAATCTCTGCTCTAGTGTCCTTTTCTTTGAACACCTTCCCTGGTCCCCCAGAGCAGATCAGTCCTTCTCCCACATGTTGTCATTCTAACTTTTCCTTCATAGCAAGCCAAACAGCTTGTCATTTACATTTATTTACATGGCTACTAGATTTAAATTCATTTCTCCTCTAGATCTTGCACCCCATGAATGCAGAGAGCATGTGTCTTCCCTGTGCTTAGCTTGGTGCACAGATCAAGCAGGGTCAGTACTCACGAGCCAATGAGTGAAGCTTCAGGAGGCTCACAAGTGGCGACTACTGCCTGCCTAGAAACTTCTAGCCATAGCCCTGGCTTTGTGTGTGTGTTTACTCAGAATCCTATAGAACATATTTGTTTTGTATGTGTTTTAGAGATTTTTTTGTGACTATTGATATTTTAAATCATCCCAAACTCTGGGAGACCTTTTGGATTAATTACATAAGGCTTAAAGGACCTCTGCAGAGGTATCCCCAGCTGTCAGAGCAATTTTAGGGCCCTATGTTCAGCCTCAGGACAGTCCATGTTCTTGGCTGTTTTTGAGTGTTGTTCTGTTCTTTTTTATGAGTGTGGCTCAGAGGTGCTGAGTCAGTGCTTGTCTGGGCTTCTTGTCCCTCGTGTATCTTAGTCATCTGCTGGAGTGGAGTCTTTGAAAGGGCACTGGGTCATGGTGAAACAGAAGCCAGTGACCATGCTTGTGGTGACATGGCCCCTTGTTCCTGCTTGGGCAGTGTGCAGAGAGTTCTTTGTAGCACAGAATGGTTTTTGTTGCCAGAAAGCTGTTTTCTGTTGCAATATTGCAATATTCTGTTGCAGTATTGACACAGTCTTTGTGCCAGAAAGCTGTTTTCTGTTGCAATATTGAGACAGAATCCCTTTTGATCATCAATATTGCCTAGTTCGTTTTGTAGGCCATTAGCTACTAAGGGATTATAAAATCAAACATATGGGCCATGACCAGAGTTCAAAAAGAATGAAGGGAAATGGCATTGGAGGATATCAGTGATGGCATCAGATTTAATACAAGAAAAAGTATTTTTTTGGTAAAACTTTTCTTTCAGTTCCTATTTGTGCATGCTGAGTCACAATATAAAATGTGTTTCTTGCTGTCAAAATATCTGATTACCACAGTTCTACAGTAATGTCCTACTTGGAATTTTCAATGTCATTACCCACTCTGCCTTGCTTTTTCTTAAAGGTATGCAAAATCCAGTCAGATCAAGACAGTGTCAAGCAGCAAGATATTTTTTAAAGGAAGTAGATTTCGATATAGGTGGGTATCATTGATCCCATTGCAGTTGGTGGGGTTGGAGTGGGGTTGGCTATTTACATTTGCATGATTTGCTCAAAAATAAGTCCATTTAGATTTATGCTCTTTCATTCATTTCCACTTCATTGAGCTCTTATGCTCCCAAAAGACCCTTGACCTCCATACTAGGTTCCCTTTGTAGAATAAGAGAAGGAGCGAATACTTAGAATTGTCTCAGACCACTGTGAAATTTAAAAAAAAAAAAAGTAATATGTGTTCTCTCTTCCTCTGAGCATCTGCACATACCTGTATTTTTGTCTTTCACAGTGGTAAAGTTGCCAAAGAGGTGGTGGAGGCGAGCTCCAAAATCCAGAGGGAGCCTCCAGAGGTACACAGGTGAGTGGGTTGGTCCCCTCTGGTTCAGGTGGCTTCAGGGATGGACAGAGGGATTTAAAAGCTGTTTTTTCCATGGACTGTGAAGGTATCTCAGTGGTAGAGCACCTGCTTAACACTGAAAGAAAAAAAAAGTAAAAGCAAATTCTGATTTTTTTCAAATTCTTGATAATACCCTGTGTATAATTTAAAAAATTAAATTAATTAATTTTAAACTCTTTCACATCCCTAGAAATCTCCCTTTGACAGATTTGGCTGGGTTGTGGCATGAGTGCAGCTGGATTCCTTTTTGAGTCACTTACTTTGGGAAGAGATGTTAATTAGGTATGGAGTATCATGTGAGCAAGCAGGATGCCTGCTATCTCTTGGCCAAGCTCTGGTGTTCTTTCCTCTTAGAACTGCCTAATTTGCTGTCTCCCTCATCAGATGTGGTCAGTTCCCATTGGCTGGACTCCTTTAGACTATTTCACATGAGGGAAGAGGCTCAGATGAGCCCTTTACTCTCAAGGGCCACCTACAGGAAGGAGGGTCTAGTTGTTATCAGTTTGAGGGTGCACATCTTCATTAAGGTGACTATCTATGATAATTTTTAAGAATTAAGTATTGTTTTGACCAAACTGAACTTTGTACCACCACAATTTACACAACCTATTGAACATGTTCAACCTCAAACATGTTAAATATCTTAAAGCTAAACATTCATATCATGGTGCTTCCCCCCCTTTTACGGCAAGATCATCGTGAGCCAAATTCCTTAGTGAATTCCCCACATGCTGGTTGGCACCTGTCCTTCTTTCTCCATCTTTGGAACCCAGAGGTGTTTCCTTTATGCCCAGGTTTGCTGAGTCTCTGCCATTTCCAGGGTGCCATGTAAGCTGGGTGCCACTTCTTGTCCCTCAGGGTTGTGGGCAGGAAGAGGCTGCAGTCCCACAGAAATGAGGGTAGGCCAGTCTGGCAAGGGTACCTAAATGGCACTTCTCTCCTCTCCCAAAGAGGGGCACAGAACCACAGTCTACAGGAGATCCTATGCAGATGTATACAGATTATAATTGAACCCTGCTTGCAGTGGCCTGGTGGGGAGCTGTCACATGCATCTATAAAACCAGTACTTCGTGCTTTAAGAGGCAGGAGAAAACTGAGGGGCTGGGGAAGGTGGAACAACTTGGCTGGGGGCACCTCATTGTAATACCTGAACATCTGATAGCCTACCCATCAATGAGTTCCTCCCCTGCCCTAAACTGTGATCATTTAGCACAGTGTAGAAAAGAAGCAGCAGCAATGATAAAACACATCATTTCAACTTATCCAGAATCTTTGCCTTGGAAATAACTTCAGACCTCACCTAGTTTCATTGCTTCCGCTCATTGACAGACTTGGACAAGTGAAGTGATTTATCCAAGTCATATTTGGTGCCGCAGATGCAGGTCTAAAGTTCCAGTGTCTTGCTCCTGAGATCTGAGCTCTTTTCTCTCTGGTGCTTGCCACCTTTGTTGTCCTCTTAGAAGGTAGTAATAGAGGCAGAACTACTTCCAAGGGGCTCTGCTTTGGTTCACTTCTTCAAGCTTGAAGTCTGAGTATTTGATCTTTTAAAAAAATAAATAAATAAACTTGATGCTGCGGAGTTCTTTTGTTGGTAAAACAAACAAACAAACAAACAAACAAACAACAACAACAACAAAAAACACCAGGAAACTTTTTGAACACAAACTTTCAGAGAGACATATTCCCCATCATAAAACTTTCCAAGAGTCTCATAGTTACCATCCATGGGAGGTCAATGAGATCAAAAAAGAATATTTTGAAATACTTCTCTTATAAATTGAGGTTTTCATAATTTAAGGAAATCAAGACTTCCTAGCTCAGGGCTTCTCAAGCCTTAACTTGCACAGGATCATCTGGGGATCCTTTTAAAATCAGATTCTGATTCAAAAGGCCAAATGATGTTCAATATTCTGCATTACTAACAAGCTCCCAGGTGATGGCCATTTGTCTGGTTCATGGACCACTCTTTGAGTAGCTGTGCTCTCCGGTGGTATTAGGGTGAAGGGAGCAGCTTGGCCAGAGTGAAAGCTTTTCTTGGAGGGCACTGAACCACCAAAAAGGGGCTGGAAATGAATACAGCCTGAGGCATCAATCAATTCCATTTCTCTTTTCTGGAATCTTTTAAAATCCCCCAAGATATTACCACAAACAAAGACTCACAGGCCTGATTTTCATGCTCTTTATTTGTCTTCTACCACCCTCTTTCATCTATATGTGAAAGACTACTAAGTTCATATCCTCAGGAAGCCTCTCTTGTCCTTGGTTCTTTGTCAGCATCCCTTAAATCTCTGATAGTACTGGGAAGAATTTGGTTAATGTAATGGTTTTAAACAAAGCAAGCTCTGGGAGGCCAAAGCTCTGTCCCTCTTTGTCCTCTCCATATTCTCCATTTCTTAACCCAGTGCTTGGTGTATAGTAGAATGCAGTACTTGTTTGTTGAATGAATTCATGAACTTCGAGGGTAACAGTAGCACCTCTGTTATTTTCTTTTGTGGATGAACTGTATTCTCAGCCCCATTATTTTTTATTTTAGATCTGAAGTCTGTCCAAGATGCTGCACTGTCAAACTTCACCTCTCCAGAGGCAGCATTGTGGTCAGAGCAGTGATGATATGTGATACTTTCCTGTTGGCAAATTCTCTTTCCCAGCAAGTAGCCAGCTGCATGGTAGAAAATTGTTTGTCTTAGACAATTATTTTATTTTCAAATTATTTCAGCTTCTTTGTTATGGCTGTCAAATAATGAGCTCTCCTCTGATGGTGGGCATCCAGAGATGACTGTTAGTATAGAATAGTGATGATAAGGCTTTAATTAAGCATCTTTCCTCACCCCTGAGATTCTACTCGTCAAACAATGACAGGTTCATGGACTCCTACTTCTGAGGTGTGTGTACAGAAAGACAGAAACAGACTGAGAATAATGTCTTGGAATTTTTATTGTTCTTCAAAAAAAGGAGCTGAAGTTAACTCTGATGTTAGGTCACTGATCATTTATTGATGAGAAGATCCACAAGCAAAACTCTCCTGGGTTGGTTACTGGGTAGAATCACTCTCCCGATCTGACACAGGCTGAAGCTCACTGAGCACAGGGCTGACTGTGCCAGTCACCTGGGCATGACAGCCATCACCAGGCTTCTCACAGGCAGCATTGATATCTGAATCAAGCACATTAGTCTTGGCTGTATTGCTTCCCAGCTTATAGCCTTGGGTAAGTCACTCAGCTTCCCAAATCATCAGTTTGCCCAGGTATAAAATGAGATTTATATATTGCTTTTCCTAGATTTTGTTGGGAGGATTATAAATCAAGTATTTTGAAGTTATAAAACCACACAATTGTATGTTTTGATAGTGTTATCATCTCTTATCCAAAAATGGGAAGGTAGGATCTGAAAGATACATTTGCATTAGTATTCCTGTGGATGAAGTTTTTGGAGGCTTGCTAGCAAGGCCAGCATTCCAAGAAGTGGTGAAAGAACTTCTGCAGCTTCATTCTACCTCTCTATTTTATGCCACCATTTTTGGGTCCTGAGTTTATCCATGTAAGTGTTACATAACCCTGGTTTCCTTATCTGTAAACATGGTATTTTTTCATGCCTATCTTAAAAGCATATTTGAGAAAAACCAGGAGGTAAGTTTAATACAAACCATGTTTTCCAGCATTAGAATCAACTTGCAGTTCCCAAAGGAAACCTTTCAACTTTAATAGCGTTCTTTGTGGCAGTCTTCTAGGAGACTTTTTTTACACCTGAGTGGGCTACAAAGTGGGTCAGGCCTTTTTCATAGTCAGCTGACGGACGGGTGGATTCTGAGAATGGAGTTACCTGACCTGTGTCTTGGCCTGGCCTGGGGAGATCCAGTCATAGAACCAGTTACCTCATGACAAGGCTTGGTGTTTTAGTCAGCTTTACACCACTATGACCAAGTGACCCAGCAAGAACAGCTTAGAGGAGGAAAAGTTCACTTTGGCTCATGGTTTCTTAGGTTCTGACCCTGGGCTGCTGACTTCACAGGTCTGGGTCGGAGGTGAGGCGAAGGGTGCCATGGAGGAAAGCAGCTTTAGACATGGCAACCAGGAAGAGGGACAGCTCTGTTCACCAGGGACAAAAMAATATAAACCCCCAAGTCATGCTCCCAGTGACCCACTTCCTCCAGTCCACTCCATCTGCCTATAGTTACCACCCAGTCAATCCATTCAAGTAGATTAATCCACTCATCAGGTTACAGCTCTCATAGTCTCATCATCTCACCTCTGAACATTCTTTCATTGTCTCACACATGAGATTTTGGGGGATATCTCATCTCTAAAATGTAACACTGGGTGTCTCCAAGGATTCATGTTATAGAGCTGTGGTTCTGGTGCACTGGTGTTGAGAGGTGGGACGTTAAGCAGTGGGGCCTTGTTTGGATCATGGAGGTCCTGAGTCTTTAGTTAAGTTATATAACCTCATCGTCATCTGTAAATATGGTATTTACCTTACCTATTTTACAAGTATACCGAGAAAGAAAATGATGAGATCAAGTGTATACAAATCACTTTCTTACCTAAAAAAAAAAGGGCCATTCAGATTCTGGTATTATATTATCATAGAACAACTGTGCTCTTGAGCTCTCACAATAAAGAAGCCTTGGCACCTTTAAAAGTCTGCAAACAAGATTAGGGTTAATGCTGCCACAAGCCAAGGAATATCTAAGGCTCCCAGAAGTTAGAAGAGGCAAGGAATGATCCTCTCTTGAAGGCTTTAGAGGGAATACGGTCCTGGAAATTCTTGGATTTTCTATTTCCAAACTTCAGAATTTTGAGCAAATAAACCTAATGTTTTAAGACACACACACACACACACACACACACACACACACACAAATCTGCAAAGGGAAAATGAGGTGAAAAAAGGAAATTTTAGACTAAAGGAGGTGGGTAGGTATACTAGTGCATTTGAGCTGATATAACAAAATATCATAGGCTGGGTGGTTTATAAAGAAGAAAAAATATTTCTCTATTTTTTATAATTTATTTCTCTCTATATTTCTCTATGACAAAATACCATTGGCTGGGAAGCCTATGATCAAGGCACTGGCAGAATAGATGTCTTGTGAGGGTCTGTTTTCTCACAGATGGTGCCTTCTTGCTGTGTCCTCACATGGTAGAAGGCAAAAATAAGCTCCCTCAGACTTCTTTTAAGGCCCTACCTCTTGGTACCATCACATTGGAGGTTATTTCAACAAATGAATTCTAAGGGGACATAAGCATTCAGACCATAGCAGTGGGGAAAGGTAGGAAACTTGGATTTGTTTCCTCATTTTGCTTGCTCTGTCCCCCAACCTGCCGTAATATCATGGTTTGAAGCCCTGGATTATTTGTGCTCCCGGGAAATCCCTAGTCATAGCCACCTTTGTGTTTATCTGAGTCTAAATAATGTTCCTCTCTGTATTCTGTTACTGGAGAGTCTCAGGGTTGTAATTCCCTACAAGAACCATCTGGTCAACCCTGGGCAGATCTCTAAGCCCTTGTAGTAGCTATGGGCCTTACTATAGTGGAGCGCCTGGGGCCTGTGAGTGTAGGGGCTGAGCCAGCATCTTCCTGACCATCCAGTGTTAAGGATGACCCATGTCTTGAAGGTAAATCTGTCCCCAAACCAGCCATTTGCTGGACATTGCAATATTGGTTGAGGCAGGAGGATGCTTGCAGTCTTCAGCCAGAGAATGTTGGGAGGAGGACTGATGGACAGTTAAAGACTCTTCATAAAGACTTGCTAAGGATTCATTGTTGTAGCGTAAACAGTGATTTTTCAGAGATAAGAAGAGTTGCCAGCTTAAATGGTTGGCATGGTCAGTCACGGGGCAGAACAAATCAGGGTTGTTTTGTGCAAGAAATTAATATATGGGTGTTAGGGTTTAGATGTGAGGTGTCCCCCAAAAGCTCATGCGTGAAACAATGCAAGAAAGTTTAGAGATGAAATGATTGGGTTGTAAGAGGTTTAACCTAATTAATGAATTAATCCCCAATAGGGATTAACTGAGTGGTAACAGAAAGCAGGCTGGATGTGGCTAAAGGAGATATGTCTCTGAGGATTTTGCCGTTAGGGGATTTATTTTGTCCATGAGGGGGGTGTTTTCTTGCTCTCTCTGCTTCCTGAGGCTATGTTCCCAGCTGCTTTCCTCCTCTATACCCTTCCCCATGATGTTCTGCCTCATCTCAGGAGGTATGGAGTTGGCCATCTATGAACTGAGATCTCTGAAACCATGAGCCCCAGAACAAGTTTTCCTTTTTAAAATTGTTCTTGTCAGGTCTTTTTGTCATAGCAGCCAAAAAGCTGATTAAAACAATGGACATCTCAGAAGTCAGAAAGCTAGAAAATCCATGCAAAGCATAGCAGTGTGTTGCACTAGGACAGACAGAATCACAGTCATTAATGACCACAGGGTCAGAAGAAATTCCATGAAAACTCAAAAACTGAGAACCATTGACAATAAAGAAGGAATCTCCTCCCTCCTCCCTCCCTTTCCTTCTTCCTTCTTTCCTTCCTCTCTTATCTTGCTCCCTCCCTCTTTTTCCCTCTCTTTCTTCTCTTTGTAAGAATTTCTCTCTCCCTATTTTTTTCCTTGTAAACTCTACCATACTCACTAGGACTTGCCTCAGGCATCAGTTCCCCTGCAAGGTCCTCCCTGGCTCTCCCCTTASTCACCAGGATCTGGTGCCCCTCCTTAGTACTCCACTGGGACCCTGGGTCATCAGTCTCCTTCATGAGATGTGTGTTTTTCCAGTGGTGTCTATAGCACATCAATGACTCATGAAGTGAAATAATGGTCAAGGCCAGCATTTCAAACAAAATAAAATAGATTTTTTTTAAATAAAAGCAAATCACACATAGCTGTGGGTAAACATAAAACACTTATTTTCCTTGTGGGCCTTCCTGCATTTCATAATGCAGTTCTCAGAGAAGAAAGTTTGAAAATCCTGGTTCTGGACAGTGAGTTGCTTAAGGCGGCAGGGGAGCTATACCCCTGCTAGTACAAGGCAGACCTTCATACCCGTTAGCTATATTGTAAGTGGCTGAGGAATGAGGTAAGCAAAGGACTCTGTGATTAAGCAAGTCCCTATAAATTTCTTCCAGTTAGTTCCATCTGTTAATTCAAGATGTTAAAAGACATCCTGTTCCTCCCCTCTTCATCCCAGGTCTAGCTCAGGCTAGAAGGCAGTCCCTCCACCAGGCCTAGGAGCACCTATGCCAGTCTGAAATGACAACATGCCAAACCAGGATTACACTTGGTTTACTTTGGCTTTAAACCTGAGCACCCTTAACACAATGAAAAACAAGACACCTTAGGGCAGACAGAGATGGCCAGGTCAGCCCTCTCTGCCCTTATTGAGGCAGGGAATGATCAGTACACCAATGACTGCACAGAGACAGAGGTGACATGCAGATAGCTGTGAAAGAACAGAGAGCAGTATGAGAAAGTGATAGACGGAGGGAGGGAGAGAGTGAATCTTTGTCTCTGTTGTCAGGAGCCATCCAGGAAGGCTTCAAAGGGCAGGAGACATTTGACAACATCTTAGAAGGAATTGTTGGTTTTAGTTTTGACGGGAAACAGGGGAGGGGAAGGGTGCCAGTCATCCACCTGCAGGTCCCCACCTCCTTGTCTGGCAGGACAGACAGCTGGTCTCCTTGCAGTAGGCAGTGCAAACAGGCTCCCCAGCTGTCAGGCAATAGTTTTGATGGACACCTAAACAGTTTCCTTGCCATCTGCTGTTGCCATAGCCACTGGTGTGAATGTTCCTTCCCAAAGGAGGAACAGACCTGGATTTCATAGCTGGCTGGTGAGAAGGGTGAATGGGAATATTAATCACTGGACATCCAGCTACAGAAAGATAGCTTGTAGCTGTAGCACATCTGTGCCATCCATCTGGCAGGGTCTTTTGGTGCTTGTTCTATTCCTCTGAGCCACACCCTTCATTCACCTTTCTGCATATCTAGTTCAGTGATAGCTGACACCTATGTTTCCTGTATCTTCTTAAAATGTTCACATCTTCATCTGACATTCCCAGGTCTGATGGCATCTGGGGAACTACATTTTCTTTTCCTGGGTTGCATTGGAACACATAGATGTTTGTCAGGATCTTAAGGGCAAGAAGGGTGGTGGGTCTTGAGTTTTATGTCACCTTTATTTCTAGCTCAATCCATTGTGTGTGTCTAGAGGCACTTCTCAGCTTGGGTAGCCCTGAGAGAGAAGGGGTCAGCTCTCACAAAGGACATCAACTCGGTTTGGCTTTTGTCTGTTCTCAGAGTCAGCATTACTCAGAGTCGCAGCTCCCACTCCTTGAACAAACAGCTCATCATTAACATGGAGCCCCTGCAGCCCCTTCTTCCTTCTCCCATTGAGCAGGAAGAGGAACTTCCCCTGGGTGAAGGTAAGTCAGCCACTTCATTCTAGAAATCTGCTTTGGAAGAATGAAGAAGCACCAATTTTATGTATGCTGGGAAATGGGTTGAGTCAGGGGCCTCAGTGAGCCATACACTATGTTTTAGTAAATACATTCTTTTTCAGTCAGAAGTCTGTGTGATATTGGGAGTTCTATCCATTTTTCTTGGAAGTTTTACTGATRTAAGTTTTTCTAAGATTGCATGGGAAAACAGTAATGGTGTTGGACCTAAACTGTACAATGTGGTACCCACTAGCCATGGAGGCTATTTAAAATCAAGTTTAAATCCATTAAAGGTAAAATTCCAATTCCTCAATCACACTACCAGATTTTCAGTTCCTAGTGGCCACGTGTGGTTGATGGCTGCCATACTGGAATCTGAGGCTGAGAACATTTCCATTATTGTAGAAAGTCCTCTTGAAAGGTGATGTTTTCTACTCCATCACAGTTCAGTTGGTGGTTATAAAGAATTCTCCACAAGTATCTCTGTGCTGCTCATCCTCTTTTTGCCTCAGTATTTTCCTAGTCTCTTTTCCACAAGCACCTTGTCTAATAGTTTTGATACAGACTAAAATACATGGTGCCTACTTTAACCCCCAAACCATTATATTTTTTAAGATGATAATATGTGTGCTGATAGACTCATTCTCTTCCCTTTCCTCCTGACCCTTCTATTGCTCCTCTTTTTCTTCCTTCTCCTTCATGAGAGAAAGGGAAAAATCTCACCGTACATGGTAAGGCAAGTCTCAGACACATGGTAAGGCAAATCTCAGATTCTTACTAACCTCAAAGTAAACCAAAAACAAATGCACACAAAATAAGGTTTTCTGAATACAAATATAGTATGCTTTCCCTTAACTTTAATACAGTATTTTTTTTGTTTTATCATTAAAAATGTAGATACTTGGAAATGTAAGAGGGCAGGACTCCTTGTCCCTGAAATATCACCTTTACCCCAGTCTCAAATCAAGAATTCCTTCCACAAAAGCTTTTTGAGTTCTTAGTAAGAGTTTGCCTTGGAAAACAAATACACTTGAGAGAAGCAGAAGTAACCAACTTACACTGAATTGCGAAGAATTTTACTAAATATTTTTCTGAGAGAATGCTTTGATGGTTAGAAGGGGAACTGAGGAACTAGATACCAAAAATACCATGGTAGAGAGAAAGTGTGAAACATATGGAGAATGGGATCTCAGAAGATGCCTTCTGTATCCATCTGGGCCACAAGATATGGTGATTATGAGAACAGGCTGGCTATAATGGCCTTTTTAATCTGTCCTGCCAACTAATGCTGTAAGTTCCACAGTAAAATACTTTTCTTAACCATGAGTCTCTGGATCCATGTTGCTTTTCTCTCTTTCTCTTTGTGTATGTGTGTTTTGCAAATGAAAGAAAATGTTTTGTGTTTTTCACTTCTGGTTACTGATGATTTTATGGGCTTCATCCCATATTCCTGAAATATTGCTTTGAGGGAAAAATCACTTTTTCTTAAGGTTTATGATTATTTCAAGGTAGAATGAGAGAGGACATGACTAATGCAGTAAATAATGGGAGAAAGAATAGTGTATGCATGAAATTGTGACTCCACATTATCTGCAAAATGGAGAATAGCCAGGTATGGTGGCACACACCTCTAATCCCAGCAGTGGGGAGGCTGAGGCAGGAGAATTGTGAGTTCAAAGCCAGCCTTAGCAATTTAGTGAGGCCCTGAGCAACTCAGTGAGACCCTGTCTCTGAATAAAATCTAAAAATGGGCTGGGGATGTGGCTCAGTGGTTGAGCACCCCTGAGTTCAATCCCTAGTAACGAGAGAGAGAGAGAGAGAGAGAGAGAGAGAGAGAGAGAGAAAGAGAGAGAGAGAGAAAATAAATAGAAATAAAAGTTGGTACACCAGACAGGTTGAATGGTTGGCAAGGGGAATACAAAACTCTAGGCCATTTCTGAAGTTCCCCTAGGACGTGAAGAGGAGGCTGGGTAAGCTTTACTCTGAACCTGTCACCCCATTCCATTAGAAGCTTCCATTTGGCTCCATTTTCTATAGAGATATTTTAATGCTAAATACTAGCCTTTTCTTTCACATAACAAAAGGATGCATGGAAGACAAACAATTATAGGTAAGTGCAATACAAATGCAAAATTTCATCATATGGAGTAGGAATCCATTAACTGTCTTTTCAATTTTCCCTGTTTGAAAGATTCATCTTAATTTTTTTTTACCAGCTGTGAAGCCAAATTGATGTCTCTCTCTTAGAAGTTCATAAGAGCTCTGTCAATATCTAGTAAAATTTTTTCCTCTAGGAGGTTTGTCCCCTTAAAGGACACCTTCATGGATTTTGAAGCTCAGGTAAAAACCTTCTAGAATGGTAGAATAAATTTAAAAGGAAGACAAGTAGAAACAAAAATTTGTTAATTATTCAAACAGTGAAATGATCCTCCCAGTGTAGAGTAAGAGCAGAGTCATCCTAGTCACCACAAATTTCAAAGCAGGATTCCTAGAGTACATGAAGATTTGTGTTCTCAATACCATTCTGTTGTGACTACCAGTCAAATTTCTATTCCATACATGTCTGTTGTCTTTATCAGGCAATGGTATTCAGACAATCCTCAAGATGAATACTGGTTTTACAGGTTTATGTCTTCCTGATATGTAAAGAGAAGAGAGGCAGAGAATACAGCTCTAAACTAAGATGGTCTTCCACCTTTGTGGATGAGTCCTGTTTCTGGCTGTTTGTGCACGAACAGTATGATGAATTCTGTTTCATCCTTCCATTCTGCTATTTCAGGATGTTTTTATGTGTGAGCAAGAAGAAAGTTTAAAAAGTGTAGAAATTCATTCATTCCTTAATACAGCTATAACAAATGCCACTCACATAACCGGTCAACCACATTTACCTGGGCATATTGCTATGAACTATGCAGATGAAGATGTTCCTTCTTCCCTGGAGGCTCACAGCAGGTTGGGGAGAAGACAGTGGATCACAGAGGTGCTGAGTAAGTCAGGCCTCTGCTGACTGAACTGTGTGTTCACTTTTCTGCCTGCTTCTAGGATCTCAGTGCCTCAAGCTGTTGGGAGAGTGACTTGTCCCTTAGTCACCATGGAGTGTCTGCCGTAAAATCAGTGAGCAGTGGAATGAACAAGACAAGATTGATAGAAAGATAGAGATGTGAGTGGTCTGCTCCAGCCGCAGCAATGCATGTGTGGTTGGAGGAAAGAGTACATAGGAAAATGCTGAGGGTGAGGTAGAAAGCTAGGAAAGGGCCAGATCAGAATGGGTCTTCTATGACTTGCTGAAGTATTTAGACTTTATTTAACCTGAGAGCAACTGGGAAGCATTGAAGGGTTTCAAGTATGGAGATGATGTCACTGGAATTGTTTTTTGTATCTCTCTGGTGGTATGTGAAAAATGGATTCAGGTGAATTTGGTGGTATGTGGAGAACAGATTCAGGCGAATATGACTGGAGCTGAATTTTTAACTTCAGTATTATTGACCCCTTGAAATGACATTTCTTTGTTGGCACACTGTGTGTTGTAGGGTGTTTAGCAGCATCCCTGGCTTCTACCTAGTAGATGCCTATAGCACCCCGCAAGTCTTAACAATCTGAAATATCTCCATATATTTAGCCAGATGTTCCCTGGGGAGCAAAATGGCTTTCTTGCTAACAACCATTGAGTTGGAGGCATAGAGACCACCCAGGGACAACTGAAACAACCCAAAAAATAAATAGACAAAGTCTGAAGGGCTGAAAGAGTGAGCCTAGGAGGAGGAAATGGATTCAAGACTTGTTGGCAGGACCATCATCAAGACAGACCACTAACAACATAGCAGGAATGTGGCCCGTGGGCTTCTACCGTCCAGTCCTGTCTTTGACTCGAAGATATTGAGTGAAAAAACTATGACTTATTTATTTCAAATATGAAACAAATGAAATATGGGAAGGTTTAAATGGCATGTCAACATCACCCAAGAAATCAATGGCAAAAAAAAATGGTTAGGTGTTGGAATGACCAAGAGAGTGGCTATTGTTTTTCTGAGCATTAAATACAGAGTGTCGGAGCCTTGGATATCCCTGCTTACTTTTGATGTCGCCTTCCCCATCTCTGTGTGATGGCTCAGATTCTTGTTTGGAGGAGTTTCAAATCATATGCATTTTAGAATGGATTCATAAACAGGTCAAGATTGGCAGCCCAGGTGCTATTAAAAGAGTTGTCTAATTAGGAATTTTTTTAAAAAATCAAAATTGTAGAAGTAGAATGGTCTTAACCCTGACCCTTGGAAGCCACATCTCTCTTAGGTCATGGGAAGGTTCTGGTGCCTTGTTTCATAAGGTGCCCTTGGTGGCAGAATTCTTGCTGCTGCCATGGCTCCCTGAGGTCATGGCCACCGATTTGTCAGACAAGTTCTTTTCATTCATCCCAGAATTTCAAGTTTCTCAAAGACAGCTGGGCAGAGTATTAATGCCCAGATCAACCCAGCAGTATTCTGGAAACACATGTGACCTCATCCACCCAAAGGACAGCTGGAGGATTAGCTCTGAAGTGGGCTGTGTCTGTGTAGAGGAAAAATAAAATCAGTTCCTAGGCACCACTCTGCAACAGGAATGTTTTCGTGCTCACCCAAAAGTTGCTTGGCTACGGGATCCAAGGGAATTTCTGTAGTGGAAAATTTTAGATGAGAATGGCAAGACATTTGAAAACTGAAAGTGCCACTTTAGAGCTTTTCAGTATTTCAAATGAAGAAAATATTGAGAGTGGGAATTGTTCTGGTAGAAAATGTCACTTTAAGGAGTCATTAATTTGAATAAATTCACATGCAAAGTGGAGCAGGTTTTCCAACAGTATATATAGCAACATGCTCATGTTTTATTGGTGGAGTGTTTCTCTCATTATGGAAGAAATTTGGATTTTAGTAGAGAAGAGGGATGAAATTAATCACATGAGACTTGGTAACTGGCAATTACTGACACACAATGAAGATCCTTCTTGTCTG